TGTTTGCGTAAAATGGACCCATCTTGGTATGCGAATGGTATTAATGTCCATGTAGTCGTGCATAAATGCCTGCCAACGATCTAATGTGGTCGGAGTCACGGTTTCGTCCCAACCAGTTCCCTCCAACCAAATATTTTGCATAATGATCTTGGCGACAATAACCACTGGAGCGAGCCAACCGAGCGGGTCAAACAGTTCGGCGATAGCTGAAAGTATCGCTCTTTTGGTGATGACGTCACGATTTTCTATTGGTTTTGCTGTGAAATAGAAGTAGTCAGATTTGGCATTCCATCTGATGCCAAGTGCTTTTACCGCACTAGTATCTTCAAACTCTAGAAAATCTTCGGTGAGTAAATGAGATTTCGGTATACCTTCAAGTATTTTGCTGGAGTTCGAAGTCCACTTTCTTAACGGGAACCCTGCTGAATCCAGTACCTGTAGTATTTCTTCTCGAGCTTTAATCGCTGATTCGATGCTGTGTCCTCCAGCAAGTACGTCGTCCACGTACATACACTTTCGCAAAATTTCGGATGCGATTGGAAAAGAGCTCTCAACCTCATCAGCTAGTTGATGCAATGTCCTTATCGCGAAATAAGGAGCACAGTTTATGCCAAAAGTCACCGTTTTTAATTCGTATAAGCTAATTGGTTCTCTTGGGCAGGTGCGAAAAACTATGCGCTGATATTTCGTTTGATTCTCATTTACCAATATTTGCCGATACATTTTCTCTATATCGCTGTTGAAGACGTATTGGAACAGTCTCCAACGGAGTATGAGGATAGTTAAATCGGCCTGAAGTACAGGTTCTGGAAGGAGGACGTCATTTAAACTCATGCCGTTGGCGGTTGGGCATGATGCATTAAATACCACTCTGACCTTTGTTGTGGCACTCTCCTCCTTTAACACAGCATGATGTGGTAGGAAATAACAGTCGGTTGATTCTGGTGATGCGCTAGTTGTAATCTTTGACATGTGGCCTAATGTTTCATATTCACATAAAACCCGGTTGTACTCTGTTTGAAGAACAGGTTTTTTTGCTAGTCGCATCTCGTTCCGGTAGAACTGAGAGCAAGCGCTTTTTAGTGATGGTCCTAGACAAACATTATTTGGAAAATCTTGCCTGAAGGGTAAGGAGACAATGTACTTCCCATCATCATTTCGCTTTGTCGTTGCTTTGAAAAGCCTTTCACAATATATGTCATCGGCATTCATACTTCTTTTCTAGGGGATATCTTCTAGCTCCCAGAAGGCCGTTAACTGTTTATCCACAGTAACTTCATTAAAAAAATGATACTATTTTATTGGTTGGATTCAATGATTCCGCTTGACCAGTCAGTATCCAACCGAACACGGTTTCTTGGGCGAGAAGTGTATTTAGGATGTTCTTCTTTAACCCGCTTAAAATGATTTGGGGGGATACGTCTCCGCCTAAGACGAGGTCAACGGGCTCGTTGACGAAGAATCTCTTGTCCGCCAAAATCAAGTCTGGGAATGCTTGCCGCGTCATGGCGCTCACTTGGCAAGTCGGCAAATCCCCTGTCAATTGTTGCAAAACTAATACGGTTGTGTTTATATTGATTAACGGATCCGTAGGAGATCGCAAATGAATAGCACACGCTTCTTTTACCTGCGCAGATATTGCATTATTGATGCCCGAAACTTGGGCATGCAAGGGTTTCGATGGCAGGTTGATTCTTCGTTTGAGTCTTTCGGTTATGAAAGAACACTCAGAACCAGAATCAATGAGCGCTCTCGCTGAATAATTTACACCATTATGATGAATGTTGACCCGTGCCGTTCCTAATAGTACTCCTTTATTTGAGTTTGCATGACATGAATTAACTTTATTATCTGCTTTATTATTTTTCGCAGCTTCCCGCCTTTTTGCTTGCTCAGAAGTAGAGGCTATATCGTCGGACGGACTTGGAGGTGCACTAAGAGCTGTTGCTTTTGGCTGAGTTGCTTGCATATGCAGCAACGTGTGATGTCTTGAATGACACGTACTGCAATTAAACGGACTGGTACATTTAGTGACCGTATGTCCGGCTGACAAGCAATTCAAGCAACTGTGGATGCTCTTAATAAATTCGAGTCGCTTTAGTGGAGTAAGTTTGTGAAATTTGTCACACCTTCTTAGCCTGTGCTCATGGCTATGGCACATTTTGCATGTGGGTTTTTCCACGCTGGCTTGGAAGGCGCCAAGCCTTTTTGGAGTCCATTCTGAAGACTGATGTATGTTTTGTGGCTTAGGGGCTTAATTTGGCTTGCTCTCCCTAATGCCTTTTACTGTCTCCAGGGTCTGAAACCTACTTGATAAGAAATTATCCATGTCCTCCCACTTTGATACTTCCGTTCTTTTCTCTATGGTTTGCTCCCATAGTGCCAGTGTATGTTCTGGCAGTTTTGTCGAGCACAGATACGTGAATATCGCATCCCAGCTGGAAACGTCAATCTGGTGACATTGATGCGCCGAGATGCAGTTGTTGATATCACGTTGCAGCTTCTTAATGGAGCTACCGCATTCACTCTCAACTGCTTTCAAATTAAATAAAATCCTCAATTGACTATTGACCAGGATACGTTTGTTTTCGTATCTGTCGCATAGATTTTTCCATGCGGTTTGAAACCCATCATTGGTCAACTGACATCTTTGTACAATTTCTTTGGCCTCCCCTTGCGTTTTTTGCCTGAGATGGTACAGCTTCTCAACAGGGGTAAGGCGCTTATTAAGGATATATGTATATGGCCGTAAACATATCCCTAAATGACGGCCATGAAAGGTAATCCCCTTTAAATATATCCGTGTCACAAGGAGGCAGATGAATATTGAGCTCGCGACCAGACATATACTCACTTTCTTTTTCAGTCTTTGCAAGTTGCTCTAAAAGTTCAGCCATTGCTGCTTGGCACCGCAAAAAACTAAGGTATGTGCTTTTGTACTTCTTTTTTATTGAAGTCAGGTCTTTACTATCGAGCTCTTTTGAAGCGCAGAGTTCATCATAGGACCCCTTCACCTTTTCCCATAGAGCCTTCAATTCCTCTTTTTGAAAAGCTAAGGAGTGCTTTGTGTGTTCTGATGGTTGCATGGAATTGTAGTCAGATTCGAACTCTGCTACTGCATCTGCCTGACGAATAAAAGCATCCATTTTTCCTTTTAAGGTTCGTTAAATTTGAACAAAGAAAGATTTTTTTTTTTCGAAAGAAATTGCGTATAAATCTGATCGCAGATTTAATTTATTTAATCGTCGTGAGCAATGTCGACACCTGAATAGCCACTCCAGTATAAAACCACACCAGATTAATTGAAAAGTCGAGGATTTAGTTTTCTCTTGACGGCGTAATTAATAATTTATTTTATTTCAGCAAAGACTTTTTATATATATGTATGTATTTCCGTATGGTAAATTACTTGCCACCCAACTCTTTATATATATATGTAGTGTATACAATATTGCAATCGTTCGCGTCTGCCAGTAGTGAATTTTGTCGCGAAAGTGAATGTTGTGAACAAAAAGAGGGAAAAAAGAACCCGTCCTTCTCCACAATACAATATATTATGTATGTATGTATGTTTACATGCATAATCAAATATTTGATACCCTAAAAAAAGTGAAGTGAAGTGTTTAAGGCACTAACTAACCAAATCTGTAACCAGTGACACTAAGGTGGAATTATAATTAAAATAACAAAGTCAACAGGTGAAAATGATAAGAATTTAAAATTGTACGCTGCAAAATCTGCTGTATAAGTACCTATATTAAAAGGGTTTACTTAACCTCAACAACAACGTACCAAGTGAAATTTTATACATAGCACAAAGCTGAGAAAAGTTATTAAACCAGTGACCGGAAAAAGTTTTTATAAAAAAAACAAAAAATATCAACCCGAAAATGACATGATACGAACTAAAAATGTGCACCGAGAAAAACTTTTATTAAACAAGTGCTTTGATTAAAACAAGTAACTTTACCCCAACCACTACGTCCCAAGTGAAATCTTACTAGCACAAGGCTGGAAAAAAATCGTATTGATCAGTGACACGAAAGGAGTTATAATAAAATGCCAAAATCAAAGTGAAAAGTGATATGAACTTAAAATCGTGCACCGAAAAAAAAAACTTGTATTAAGCAAGTGCTTCGATTTAAATAAATCACTTTGCAACAACAACACCTGTTCACTTCAAAATGGCGGTATCTTCGCTGTA